AAAGCCCTGTGAGAAACCTGGCCATACCAAGTAAATCCTGGTTCCCAGTCTTGGGAGAATGGAAAAGGTACATAAACAATTATTATAATATACTGTAAAAAGATGTAATAGAAGCTTAAACTAAAGTGCAAAATGTACTCCAGGAAAAGAGAGATTTTATACATGTTTAAAGGGCAGAAAAGGAAAGCTTCATAGAGGAGTTGATGTCTGAGATGAGCCTTAAAGAACTAAGAGTTTGCCAGACGAGGAAGGTAAAACACTTTAAGAGAAAATAAGGCAATTTGCTCAAACACATCTTGCTCTCACTAATCACCAGTAACTTCCACTAAGGGGTAAACTACTTGTACCAAAAATATATAAATGAAACCTGACTATAGAAATAAAAGATATTAAAACAACAGTCATCTTTGCCATCAAAACAACAATTTTTACAGTTAATTTTTATGTAACATTGTAATCAATTTTTAAGTTTTTGTTCCTGATTTTTTATTACTATCTATTTTTATTTTTTATTTTTATCTACTGATCTTTTTTAAAAAACAAGAAATCCTGCAGTGAAAAGATTTTTTCTCTAATGGAACAACAAAGGAATAAAAAATTCAAAAAAAAAAAAAATGGCAAGAAGTAACAGAGCTGGGGGAAGTAAGTCTTATATGTCCTTATCATGAATCACTGGACATATGAGATTATTTCAGAAAATATTTTAAGTAAACAAAACAATACATATTAAACGTGCAATTTTATCTGGCTTAAAATTTTCAGAGTAATGTATACAAAAGAAGAAAATTATAAGAGCGGAAAAAACCCTTAAATTTGAGTCATAAGCATATTTCTTGTCAAAGAGAGGAAAGGCCAAAACATACCTGTACAATTGAAAACGTTAATTAATCTCCTTATACTTTCCCTGACTCTAACTTATTAAACTACTTATATAATTATTATTCCATCATTTAAGGCAAGAAGAGAGATCAGGAAAGGCCATGTATGCTCATGGTGGTTGGCTGCAATGGCACGGCTTCACTGCCAGACCAAACTAAAAACAACAAAAACATTTCAACATCCACCAGTTTACAATGCTACTACCTATGACAGGCTTCAAGGCCAGTTTCTGGATTGTTGATAAGCCAAATCACAAGCCAAGTTTTCTAAGTGATAAAGGCTATAAAATCCTGAAAAGCTCTGTACTAACAAGAAAGAGTATTAAATATGAGCCAACGATACCCCATCACTGTGGGTATAGGTATGTGTGTGCATGCATATTACACAGATACACCTGTGTTGGTGAAGATGGGATGGGAAAAGTTAATTCTTAAGTTTCGAGGACGAATCCAAGAATATTTGAGGAAAGACAAGATTTTAGGCCACCTCTGTGAAACGCAAGCCTATACAGAAAAATGACAAGGGACCTTAGACAATTTGAATGTATATCATGAGCGATCATGACAATGAAACATAAAATTCACCTAATGTGTAATTTTGCTGATGGTCCTGAGGACAGAAAGTAACACAGGCGCAAACAAGAAGCATCTCTGGCAACTGTATCATACAATGCCAGGATCTTATCTATGCACTTGTAACGTCATGCTGAAAACAGATGGAAAACCGCAACACCAAGTGAGTCAATCCGGCTTGTAGGACAAGAATTAGGGATGCTTACCTTGAATGGGTTTATCAGGCAATCAGAAATAAGGCATTAAAAAATGGCTCTACTGGTAGAGGAAAATGTGAAAAATAAGAACAGACACTCACAGGCACAAATATTAACATCCTGCAGAGATTAAACTGTTTCTATTTAACTGATAACAATTTTACCAAATAGCAATTCCATTCAATAGAAACGAAAATGTAAAATTAAAGGCAAGCCTAAATCTGGAAATTCATAAATCTAAGAGGCAAGTGAGAATTTACTAAATAACATGCTAACAAGCAATGATTGGCTTTTAAAATTACATCCTTAACTGAGGACATCTTTCAAAATAAAGGCAAAGTTCACAAACAACTGAAGACAAAAATCATATCTAGATTAAGCCATGAAACAGTTAGTGGGCCGTAACAGAAGCAAACAGATGTACAGCTCTGCAATATATGATGCCTACATTGCTATACTGGATTACAAGCCCATTAAACACCTGTGTCCAAATCTGCAGGGTATATTCTTTTCTTATTTGTTGAAAATACTTAAAAAAAATAAAAAATATATACTATAGCTTAAAATGGGTTCTTCTAGATTTCTGCATCCTTAATGTGGTGCACGTAAAAGAAAAATCTTTCAAAGACAGGGGATTCTATGCAATATATTTTAATTTGAAAATGCTGGCTCATGAAAATGTGGTTTTAAAATAGATTTAAAATAGTTAGTTATTTAGCACTTACCCATTGTTTCAGCCAAACTAGAAAGGTCTGAAAAATGTTGGATATATTTTAGAAAGCCTATCTGCTCCTTTTTTAATCACATAAGTGGAATTTTCCAGTTTCTTAACTCAGGAATCCTAGTAGAAGTACCAACGTTAGGAGGGGACTTGTAGGATTTAGTAGATAATATAAATGATATTGCCAATCCACAAAGAAACTCAAAACTTTTTAGCACAAGCCTACTTAAGGGCTGAAATGCAAATTTCATTAGAGAAATAAGATCATCCAGAGCTGACTGCCTTACAACAACTGCCATAAATTACAGTGTCTAATGCTCCAGCTAAAGCACTTAACACAATCTGCTAGACCTCAACTCCACTGATGTTTACAAGGAAAGGCAGACAGAAGGATAATGCAAACTCTTAAGTTATATCCTGGTGAAGAGGAAGAAGGAAAGTTCTTAGTTATCACTTTCTGGACACACCAATCTCCTTCCCTTAGTGAAGGGGTTCTGAAAGCACCTTGGTTCCAAACGGTGGCTCCTTTCATCTCAGGTTCCAGTAACTCAGTATTGTTTGTTACAACACCTGCCTTATAAAGGCAGAGATCATACCTGACCAATCCTCCAAAATGAAAGGAGCCCTTTACAACAATTAGAATCTAACTAGGAGAGCAGAAACCACAGGCTATGAAAACACAAGAAATTAATGCAGAAAGTTGGCTATATAAAAGGTAAAAGATAAGAAATCAAGAGGGGAGCGAGACAACCGACACAAGCAACATCAGGAAGTAACTACCACTCCTACCCTAGAGAGCCAAGAGGAAGAGTCACGGCTGCAAGAGCCCAGAGCTGGGGTTGCACAGTGGGTGAGAGAATCATGACAGGCCTGTCCACTGGGAATTGGAGCCACATAAGAAACAGCTTCTGCCAGCAACACTACCACAGGCAAAGTGAGAAGGGAAGAACCGTCTTGGAGGCTCCCTTCCTCATATCTCCCATTAGGTTTCTCATTGGGCTCCCCAAACTCAGTGGATGCCGGCTGTCACTGGAGCTTTGTCACAGGGCTAGGAAAAGTGGCCGGCAGAGTCAGCCCTCCTTCAGTGCAGAACAAAGCAGGAGAGCACACAATGGATCTGAGGGCAACGAGCCCAGGACCAGCAGCACACCCTTCAATAAAGTTCACATCATCAACGTGACAAACTCCTAAGCTTATTCAATCCAGCTAATTTTTTGTTATACTAATCGGCTCTATGATTTCAATAGCTTCTAGATCATCTTTCAGATTTTAAAATTAAATTCCTATGACACTAATATCCAGAAGTATAATTCTGCTGGCAGGGCAGGAACTATCCAACTGGTTATAATCAGATATGCAAAAATATTCAACTGAGGCGACAAGAAGTTCAGTAAAGTCTGTCTTTTCGTTTGTCTATAAAGTCTAATTTGGAGTAATTTAAAAAATACATTTTCCAAAAAACTAAAATAGTCCCTAGAGGGATGAGAACCTTGTCAGCCAACATTTAGTATAAACATTTAAAATTGTCGCCAAGGAAATGCCTCAAATGTGCTTTCTCCAAAGCGCTTTTTGCCAGCTTTAAAGAGATGTGAATTTAGTAATCTATAATTAAAAATCCGACATCTTCGGACCCAATTCACAAGACAAATCAGAGTGCTGACACAAATTCTTTGGCATAAGAAAAATAATGGTGTTGTGATCAAGAATTATTAAAAGCCAACCCTAGCATAAAAAAATCAACACGCTGTTTCACATACAGAGGAGCAACTCCAGCAACAGTGACTGCCACGGGCTCCAGGCTGGAACCTACCGCTACATCGAATCCCAACATTGCACAAGCTCCCTGACATGCCTGCTCTTTTGCTACAATTACTATGTTTATTCAAATTTTACAGATAATTATAAAGCAAAATTCATTCTTTTCAAATTTTTTGGTAAATTCATTTAACAAAAATGCCTCAAATACAGTTTTTTTACAAAAAAAACTTAAAACATAAGGCTTTGTCTATCTAGAAATACTATCTACCTTATCTTCATTGAATTGGCATATCAATAAGTCAAATTATCTATCAAATGCCATTAATTTTACTTTACATACATTTTTAAATAAATATTCTGCCTTGACTCATGATTTCAACGGCAAATTATAAAGCTATATAACATACTTTAATTTTATTATTTTAATAATACCAGTAAATTCTATTTTATGTGATAAAGGACACTGATTACATAGCCTAACAGAGCAGAAAGACAAGACATTCAGTATGATAGAAACAGTGGCAACATCACGTTAATTTTGACTAAACCATCCTAACCAGTCCTTCCTACTCCTAGCAGGCTTCTAGGCAAACATATTGAGGTGCCTACAAATTTAGAAAGTAGAAAAATAATAATTCTTTATTATGACTTTAAAAGTAAAAGAGCTAATTTATCTTTTTTAAGATTATTAATAGCCAGTAAATAGGTGTCATTTCAGAATAAACTACCAAAGAAAGATTGCAGATGTTTTAAAATAATGCCACCATTCTGTCATTTATCAAATATAATTAAATGCAGAAAAACTGCTACCTTATTCATTGCTTTCATTTTTGTTTTAACCAACAGAAGTAATTTTTTTCTGCAAATACTTACCATCCACTCAGATATAATAACATCCACTTTTTCTACAGGAAGACGAACTTCTTCAATCTTTCCTTTAATTAGTATAACAGTATCTTCAAGTTTATTTAGTCTGAAAATTACAACAACGAATTAAATTAGTATGCTAAACAGATTCTGAAAGTAGTCAAATGACATAATTTCTTGGCAACTGTTTATATTGTTTTTTGGAATCCAAAAGCACGTTCAAAGTTGATTTATCCCCTGGGCTTTATAATTAATTTTTGGTCACTCCACAAATGCCCAAGAATGTTTCTGGTTAATACGGCAATACTCTGAATCAATATTTAAAACTCCAGGCTGAAAAGTAATTTTATCAAGAATACATATCAATAAAGTTATTGCAGCTTAAAAAAGAAAAGGGAGGAGTGGAGACAGACCAGCCAACAAAGGTACGTTTTAAAGGGAGGGACTGTGTCTGGCTGGAGGGAGAGCTGGAAGCCAGAAGCTCTTACTACGGACTGCACATCCTCTCCCACTCGTCTGCTATGTGAGTTTCACCACATTATGAAATAATCTGGCTGAGCCTGTGTGCTCATCTGTAAAAGAGAATGATGAGCCTGCCCTGTCTACTTCACAGCCCATTATGAGGACCATAAATTTGTGAAAGCTATGAATACACGCTCAAGCACCATATAGAGGTAATGATATTATCATGAAAACAAAATATTGCATGTTGTATAAAACTTGAAATTCTACTCCAATCACAAATTATTTTTATCCAGCTGCATTCATTAGGTATTCTATATATTTGATCATAAGATTAGCAAATATTTTTTACCCCTCTCTTTTGCAATTTGAAATAAATAACAAAGCTAAAAAGATAATTCCGATTAGCTAAAAGCAAGCTGCTAAGTTTACATTTAGCTAAATAAATAAATTCTCAATCTTCAGAGAATGTACATCTGAATTATAGAGGATTTTTTCTGACAAAAAAGGAGGAATTTCCCCCCCAGCTTCATCGAGGTATTATTTACATACAGTTAAACGCATTCATTTTAAGAATAAATTTTGTTGAATTTTAAAAAACAGAGATACCTGGGTGACCACCATAAACATCAATATACAGAACATTTCTATCTCCTCCAAATGATGCATTAGTGCTCTTGCCCAGAAAAGACTCCCACTCACAGGCAATTTTCTTCCTTTCACTATTTAAGATTTGTATTAGGTACAGAATCATATTGAATGCACCCTTTTGTGTCCAGTTTCTTTTGATAAACGTACTTTAGATTCTTTTAGATTCAGATGCATGTTCTTGTGTATATAAATAGTTTGTTCCTCGTTACTGATGAGTAGCAGTCCACTGCATGGATAAAACAAAATGTTGTTTATCCACATAGCTGTGGAGGAATTCTGGATTGGTTCTAGCTTTGGGGTATAATGAATAAAGCTGCTATAAACATTTGTGTACAAGTAGAATTGCTTGGTCAAATGGTAATGTATACCTAACTTTTTAAGAACCTGCCAGTTTCCTTACAAACTGCCTATAAAATCTTACATTCCCACTAGCAATGTTACATGCATTCCTGTTGCTTCACATCCTAGTCAACACTCAGTATTGCTGAGCTTTTACATTTTAACTGTGTAATGAGATTTCATATGGTTATAAGTTGCATTTTCCAAATGATCAGCATTTTTTCCATGTGCTTATTTGCCATATTCCCATTACTGTCTTTTGTTCAAATTTTTTGCCTGTTTAAAAAATCAGGTCAGTTGAAAGAGCTTCTTCAAGGTAAATGAAAACAGGATTGAAACAAAAAAACAATCCACTAACTGGGAAAAAATATTTGCAAGTCATATATCCAACAAAGGCTTAATATCCATAATATATAAAGAACTCACACAACTCAACAACAAAAAATCAAACAACCCAATCAAAAAATGGGCTGGAGACATGAACAGACATTTCTCCAAAGAAGATATACTGATGGCCAATAGGCACATGAAAAGATGTTCATCATCGCTGATCATCAGGGAAATGCAAATCAAAACTACACTAAGATATCACCTTACACCCATTAGAATGACAAAAATATCTAAAACTAATAGTGACAAACATTGGAGAGGTTGTGGAGAAAAAGGAACCCTCATACACTGCTGGTGGGAATGCAAACTGGTGCAGCCACTATGGAAAACAATATGGAGATTCCTCAAAAAATTAAAAATAGAACTACCATACAACCCAGCTATCCCACTACTGAGTATCTATCCAAAGAACCTGAAGTCAGGAATTCCAAAAGTCCTATGCATTCCAATGTTCAGTGCAGCATTATTTACAATAGCCAAGACGTGGAAGCAACCTAAGTGCTCATCAACAGATGATTGGATAAAGAAGATGTGGTGTATATATATATATATATATACACAATAGAATACTACTCAGCCGTAAAAAAGAACAAAATCGTCCCATTTGCAACAACATGGATGGACCTTGAGGGAATTATGTTAAGTGAAATAAGCCAGATAGAGAAGGACAATCTCTGTATGATTCCACTCACATGAAGAATCTAAAAATGTAGACAAAGAGAACAGATTAGTGGCTAGCAGGGGAAAGGTAGGTAGGGTTGGGGGTGGGCACAAAGGGTGAAGGGGTACACCTACAACACGACTGACAAACATTAACGTACAACTGAAATTTCACAAGATTGTAACTTATCATTAACTCAATAAAAAATTTTAAAAAAATCAGGTCAGTTGTAATTTTATCATTGAATTTTAAGAGTTCTTTAGACATTATGGATAAAAATTCTGTCAGATTTATGTACTGTGAATATTTTCTACTATACTGTGGCTTTCTCATTTTTTTAATGGTATGTTATGAAGAGCTAAAGTTTTTAATTTTGATAAGACCAATTTATCATTTTTTTCTTTTGTGGTTCATGCTTTTGGTGTCATACCTAAGAAATTTTTGCCTACATCAAATATTTTCACCTGGTTTCTTCTACAACTGTTTTAGTTTCCACTTTAAGTTAATTTTTCCGTATAGCATCATGTTCATTTTTTTCATAAACATCTCATTAGTGAACAAGAATAGGTTTTGTTTTTTTTTTTTTAAAGATTTTATTTTTCCTTTTTCCAAAAGCCCCCTGGTACATAGTTGTATTATTTTAGTTGTGCGTCCTTCTAGCCGTGGCAGGTGGGATGCCGCCTCAGTGTGGCCTGATGAGCAATGCCATGTCCTCACCTAGGATCTGAACCGGCAAAACCCTGGGCCGCTGCAGCAGAGTGCATGAACTTAATCACTCCGCAACGGGGCCGGCCCCGTGAACAAGAATAGTTTTGTTTCCCCATTTCCAGTTCTTACACCTTTCTTTCTTTCTTTTTTTTTTTTTTTTTAAATTTTATTCATTTCCTTGTTCTCCCCAAAACCCCCCAGTACATAATTGTATATTCTTAGTTGTGGGTTCTTCTAGTTGTGGCATGTGGGATGCCACCTCAGCATGGCCTGATGAGCAGTACCATGTCCGCACCCAGGATCTGAACCAGTGAAACCCTGGGCCGCCGCTGCAGAGCGTGCGAACTTAACCACTCGGCCACAGGGCTGGCCCCCTATACCTTTCTTTTTATTGCCTTGCTGTACTGTCGAGGATCTCCTTCACCGTGTTGAACAGAAAAGGTGATGGCAAGGATCCCTCTCCTATTCCTGAACTTGAAGTGAATGCTCTCAAGGCTTCATCAAGATGCAGGCCGTAGGTTTTGTTTTTGAGATGCTCTGTATCATGTTAGGACATTGCTTTCTAGCTCTAGTTTGCTAAAGGTTTTAATACATAGATATACTGAATGGACACGAAATTTTATCAAACTTTTTCTTCTGCATCTACTGAAATGATCTCAATAGATTTATTGAGTTGATTTCTCATATTTAAGCAACCTTATATTCCCGGGGTAAACCTTACCTTCCAGTATATTGCTCAATTAGTTTTCTATTTTGATTAGAATTTTTGCATATATATTCACGAATGTGTGACCTGTAATTTTCTGTTCTACGGCCATAGTAGACTTTTAGTATAAAGGTTAGACTGGCCTCATTTATGGATGCTTGATACTTGACAAAGATGACACTGCAAAGTAAAGAATCGTCTTTGTAATAAGTGAGACCGGGACAACTAGGTCATTTAAACAGATTACCAAAACAAAGAATAAAACCGGACCACTACTTCATACCATATATAAAAAACAATGCCCAGTGGATTACAGATCTAAATATAAAAAAAAAGCAACTATAAAGAATTTAGAAGAGAATATGGGAGAATATCTCCATAAGATTCATACTCAAGTCACAAATAGTGACAACCATAAATAAGAATGCTGCTACATGAAAATTGAGAATTTCAGTACATCAGGAGTCACCACGAAGAGAGTAAAAAGGCAAGCAAGAATGAGAGAAGACTTTCGCATTACATAAAACCTATAAACAATTCAAATCTAAAAAACATAAAGATTGTCCACAAATAAATAAGTAAAAGACCCAACTTAAGAAAAACATGAGCAAAAGACGAGAAGAGATATTTCACAGAAAAGGAAATTCAAAAGGTCCATCAATAATCATGTGAAAGGGTGCTCGGCCTCAGTAACAATCACAGGAACGCAATTTAAGTTGCAATTAGATACTGCTATACAATCAATTGAAAAAATTTTTTAAAGGTAGACAATACCAATCAGAATTGTTATATACTACCGGCGGACGTATAAACTGGTATAATCTCTTTGGAAAATAGTTTGGCAATATCTAGAAAATCTGAAGATATGTATACCCTAAAGCACGCAATCCATTTGTAAGTATATACCCCACAGACGTGTGTACCAGGCACACATACAATAAGTCCAGACTAGAATTGTTCATAATATCCCTAAACTGGGAAACACAAAAGTGTTCATCAAGAACAGAAAAGACAAACTGGGATATATTCATCAATGGCATTCTGTACAACCACCATGGATGAAGCACAGCTACGCACAACATGAATGCACGCTAAAAAGAATGTTGAGCAAAACAACCTAGACAAAAGAATGCATAATATATGATTTCATTTATTTAAAGATCAAAATTGAGCAAACAATGATCTTAAA